TTACACAAACGTTATATTCGTACATAACTTGTTTTTTCATTTCACGGTCATAAGTGGTTAGGTAACGTTCATTTCTGCCCCAGCCCAAATCAGATAAAATCCAAGAACATTACATGATTTCAGCAATATTTCCTAATACATATAGTGACAATTGTTCAATACAATCCATTTGGGCAAAAAGCAATATTTTTAGAATAAACTCCAATTGAATGACTAGTAAGATCAACCATAAAATAATACAATCTTTAGAGAATTTCTGCTCAATTCGTTTAAATTTGCACACCCCGTAAATGTTGTGTTCTGAATATACCTACTCCTATTTCCTCGAGCCATTGAATGAGTTCATTTACCATGAAATGGCCTTTCCATTAGTAAAAACAAACAAAAGCAGAAAAGGTGTCGACTCTCGACTATAATACAATGAAACATCAGTTTCCTGCTGAACCATAATTTCCTCATTTCCCATCCTACAAAGAAATATTATTGCGGTCGTAATAAACATGGAATAGAACTAGTTTTGTTTTTGTTAATTTAACATGAATTGTTGAACATAAACAAGCTGTTTATTTTGCGAGATTTCACACCGTTAAAAAGTTAGTGTAAACATTTGATGCATCAAAAAATTAAAAGCAGTTGTTTTATAATTTCCGTGAAAGTTATTGTTTGGTAATTGGATCAATACTGTATAATTTTTCCAAAGAACAGCAATTTACACAACAATTTGGATTCAGGTTTTATTGTAATTCCAGATAACTATTTAAATTCAATTCAAAAACGTCACTGGAATCAATGAAGTCGCCCCGGAGCGCCAATTAATTTTTATTGTTGTTTTTATTTTTATCGTTGTTTTATAATTGATTGAATATAAACGTCTATATAATAATAATAATAATAATAAACGTCTTTATTGTATTAAATGACATATGATATACAAATGAAATGAAAGTGTTGGCGAAGTCTAGCTCAGAGCTATTCTACTCAACCAACAGGGGTTTGAACCCCGATTTGAAAAAGAAAGTTCACAAGTTAGGTAAACGATAATTTTAGTAAATGGCTGTACTTAGTGGATTACAAAAATAATTGAGTGGCGCAGTAAACATAAATAAGTTATACAGGTTAATCACCATCACATATACATTATTGAAAACTTACTAGCCTGAATAATTGCAGTCAATTAAAAGGTAAAATGTAAATTATCAGAATTTGCTATATTACATCATTGTGTGAGTAATAAATAGTAATAATATAATAATATTCTAAAAATGTCAACCACATCCATAGCAATGGACTCTTGAAGTATGAAACCTTTGAATGATTTCCAACACTCCCCCTCAAAAATTCAGCTTCTTCTCAGTACACCCATGACTTCTCTAAAAATTGATTCTTTGAACCATCTCGGGAGTCGAAAGGTATTGTATATCAATCAAATCATTGCTGTATATTTGCCTTATGAAATGATGTATTATATCAATGTGTGTGGTTCTCGAATGAAATGCTGAATTCTGAACCAAACGTTGTGCATCTTGATTATCGTTCAAAATAGCAAAACTATTCCCCATTTCCTTCATCGCAAAAGCTTTGGGTAACTCTTGTTAAATTTTATTCATTTCATACATGTCATTAGTTGAAATTAGAATATCATCAACATAAATGGCAATCAAAGTGATAGAAGTGTCATTTCATATGAAATATAAACACGGATAAGTTTTTAAAGGTTCAAATCCTATTTTTCCAAGAACACGTCTAGGCTCATAGAGCATATTGCCTGCCACATCAAAGCAATCCATATAGTGCTTTTTGGATAATGCAAACTTTATTAAAAAACTAATTAATACAGTTTATTGTATGATTTTCACTATAAAGGGTTTTACGAAAACCGCGACACGTGTTTCGCTATACAATAGTTTCCTCAAGCATAAACTGAAAGTTACTTCTAAATTACATCCATTTTATACTCTAACCTATTACCTACTCGTCTGCCTAATGAATGAATCTACCTGAAAAGGTCAGGTATGAATTCATTAACTATATCAATAAATTTTTCGAAAGTATATCTGTAAATATACCTAACTATTTTTACCTGCAAATGAACAGATTCAATAATGGCGAATTATTCAATTCAGTTTAATCGTTCATACGATTTTGAGAGTTTTTGAATTTGTTTATTTCCATACTCTCCAACAGGTTAAGTTTCAAACCTTTCTTCTGGAAATGGAGGGGCTTGTATTCATGGTTGAACTCATGTCCCTCTGAGATCAAATGAGTGGCATATGTGGAATTTTTTTCCCATTCTGGAAACTATATTTGTGTTCCTTTATGCGACCTTTGAACGCTCTTTCAGTTTGACCTATATAAAACATCGGCCATGACCCACACGATAATTTATACACTCCTGATTTTTCTAAAACTGAACTTTCATCTTTCTAATTCTTAATGTGCATGCCTAAGTTGTTGTTGGTTTTGAAAGGAGTATTTACACTTTTGCTGTGCAGAAAATCGAAAATATTTGTAGTGGGTTGGCCTAAGTAGGTTAAGGTTCTATAACTTTTATCCTCTTCTCTTCGAATTGGATAAACTTCTTTCAAAACTTGACTGTATAACTTTTTTAATAATAAAGAATGTATTAGATCGCTATCGTAATTATTGTTGACGGCTATTTGCTTTATTATATTCAGTTCTTTATTGAAATTCGTCTCTGACAAGGGCACGTTTATCAGTCTGTGGATCATACTGTTGAAAGCTGCTACCTTATGCCGATATGGGTGAGTGGACGAATTATGAATGATAATATCTGTATGTGCCGGTTTACGATAAATTGAAAAATCTTGTTTGTTCTTAAGTTTTGTTATTGCCAAGTCCCAAAAATGTATAGAGTCGTCCATCTCCATTGTCAATGTGATAGAAGGGTGGAGAGATCTCTAAACTATGATCTACTTCTCGCCATTTTAAACTATCAGACTTCTCGAATATTACATCACAAACAGGGAACAAAATGTGTGCCAGGGTGGAATCTATTCAAACTATCTAAAACTTAAGTCAGGTGTGCCACAGGGTTCAATATTGGGTCCACTATTGTTTACAATTTATTCATCAAACATGTTGCGTAGTCTAGAACACTGTAAATGTCACCTTTATGCTGGTGACACTCAACTCTATCACAGCTTTCTCACTCGAGGTGTAGAAAACGCATGAACACTTACTAACAATGATCACGAGTCATTTGTTGAGTTGGCAAGAGATCACTGTCTACCGTGTTAGGAATCACACGTTAAAAGGTAAGACCTCGTTAATCCTTAGCTCGCACAAGTTTCGACTTCTGAGGGTTGTCGTTCGTATGGGTGCGACAGCTGATTAACGGAAAAACAGATTTTTTTAAACTACTAAATGCTACTAAATCGAATATCATTTTTTTCGGATCAAAAAAGAATCGCCTGAAAACAAGTGAATCTCTTACAATCACGATTGATAATGTACCTTTACAACCCACAAATGAATGTAAAAATCTTGGAATTATAATCGACTCTGACTTGCGGTTTGAGAAACATATAAACAAACAAATACAACTTGCATATTCTTCGTCGAAATTTATTTATGGACACAGACACGTACTCACGAAACAGACGAAAACAACAACATATTAAATGCTGCTAATTTATATAACAAAATTATACAAACCAAAACGCCGCCTTATCTGTACAGGAAAATCACTTTTTATACTGATGTTCACAATCTGAACATCAGATTTAAGGGTACTTTTACCCCACCTAGTTTTAAAACTGAATTTTTCAAGCGATCTTTAAGCTATAATATATGCCCAGTGATCAACCTGTTACCAAAAGAAATGAGAAATTTCTGTTTTACGGAAAAGATTCAAACTCCTTCTGTTCGAAAGCCAACTTTAAGTATAAACTGCCAACCCTATACATTTTTCATCATTATGAGACCAGAATAAGTCTCAGTAATGGATGTCTTCTCCGGCATCTTAATAGATATTTGAACAATCCCAATATGTATTACTTTCTTTTTGTCATAGCATAAGTAGAATCTTTTTGAGGTTGAGTGGAAAAACAACTAAATAGCACTTGTGCTGAGTTGAACTTCGCCTTTTGTTATATCAGCAACTAGCTTTGATTAACGGAAAAACAGATTTTTTAAACAGATTTTTTTAATTTATCTAAATATTTGTATGTTACTACAGCTGGGAAACAATAAAGACGATTATTATTATTATTATTATTATTATTATTAATTGATGACATTCATAAAGTTACTCAAATGTCCGTTCCTGTGAAATAGGTAAATAATCAGGTATTTCCATAAAAACTTATTTTTCTAACTGGGAGTTTAGATAAGCAGTCACAACATCCATTTGATGAATTACTAATCCATTTGATGAATTACTAATCCATATTCCACCGATAATGCCATCAATAATCTAATTGAACTTGCTCGAACGACTGGGGCAAATGTTTCATGGAAACTTAATACTGTTGTGCATATCCCTTTGCAACTTGTCTGGCCTTTCTCCGGTCTAGAAATCCATTTGCATCAAATTTGTTCTTTAAGATTACTTGGCTTCCCATGACTTTTCGGTTTTCTGGGCGATCTACGATATCCTATGTTTGATTCTTTATTTGAGCTAAATATTCACTTTTTACTGCTTTTCTCCATTCTTAAGCTTCAGGACTCATGAAAGCATCTTCAATTGTGAGCGAATTCAGAGCCTGTGTGGTCTACCTCTTTATCCAATTCTTATTATCCTTGGCCTTCCTCTGCTACGGTTCGATAATTCTGATGTAATTTTTGATTCAAACTGTCGTTTAAAAGTGTTTCAATGTAATGGTCAAATTTCACATTAGGATATCGTTTCAAAATATGAAATTAACGTGTTTCGGGATTTTTATGAATACCTATAACCCAATAATTGAGGTATTGTATTCATTTAATTTGGTCTTTCCATTGCATGTTTATACTTTGCTCTCAACATTTTTCTATTGCAGCTCCAATGTTGTGGAAATGAAAAACCAACTGACTGGCTCAATCTTATCCCAGCACAACCTATTCCTACCTCTTGCTGCATCAGGGAAAATTGTGACACGGAAATGCCTGATCAAATATTCTCGCAGGCAAGTATAGTGGTTAAAAAAAATTGTACCAATAAATAAGTACAAGAGATGTGATCATTCTTTATCGTCATCACCTTATCACGTAAGAGATTAACACTTTTACATACTAGTAGAGATTGACACTTTTGAAAACTAGTAGCTGCCACTATCGATAAAGAATTTAATTATCAGGTAGAAAACCATTGTCTATAAAGCATATCTCGAAAACATTTTTTCTCCACAAAAAACCTCTGTTTTTCATTTCAAAATTAATGCATATACAGCATAATAAAGTTTCCATAATATGTTTTTTTGGAAAAATACGTTCCAATTTCCGGTGTTGTATAAACGTAACCTATCATGAATTACATTCTCGTCTCGGAAAGTACACACAAAATGTGTTGGAAATTTTGAATATGGTGAAAAGCGTCATATTAACGTCATAAAAAATTATGCATAGATATGCATAAAAAATTACAAATCATTTACTTACAATGTCACTCCTTAATATGTTCATAAGATACATAATCTTGAAATGCAAGTATGGATATTATCTGAAAAATAAACTTCCCTATATGCCTTGAACTTCCGACCCTCTTAACAAATGCTAAAGGAAGTTCTTCAAATGTAGGTTTTCAATGTGGAAGAAAATATTTTTTTATTATCATTTATAACTTCCACTATCAACTAATTGCTCAATTCATATTATAATTATTACCACGGAAATGAAATTTTCTATACCTATTCAAAAAAATACGTATTTTCAATAACTCACGGGAGATTGTCCCACATAAGATGTGTTTTTTATGCAATATGTGAGTGTTACTGCCATTTTCTGTTGTTGTCTGGAGTTTTAAAATTAGTTGTGAAATTCCAGACATCACCAGATGATGGCAAATGAGACTTTGCTGAAACGTTGTGAAAATAATCCGTATGAGGATAAAAACACAGAACACGGAGCAAAACCCGAGAAATTACGACCAATTTTGTGAACATTTACAAAATTACAATTTTTGAATACTGTATCGGCTTATTTGGAAAAATATATATTGAAAAAGTTACGATGTTTCAAATTGGAGAAATTTTTGAACAACGTTTTTGAAAAGGGTTTAAGTGAAATTCACTTGATAGTCAGAATATCTAGCTCAAGGAACTTTTTGAGCTATATTTGGCAAGAATATAACTTTGTTTACTTACAATGACAACATGTTTCAGGGTTGCTACAGGAAAATAGTCGACTTTCTCAACGCTAACATAGGAATAGTAGCAGGTGTGGCACTGGGAATAGCATTTTTTCCTCTGATCGGAGTTATTCTCTCCTGCTGTCTAGCTAGTATAATCAACAAAACCAAATACGAGCAGATGGCCTAAAAATAATTTAAAACATGATGCTCAACATGTACTTCAAATTATCTATTTGAATATCTTGGTGTATCTCTCAGCTCAAATTTTCACTTCATTGCACCCTGTAACATGTTCGCACCTTGGCATATAGCTTGAGAGTTGAACTGATTTTCAATGTGTAACAGGATATTTTTATGATTGAATTCTCTCGTATTTGTCAATCAGTACTATGACAGTCACTAAAACTGTAAATGGGATACTTCAACTTTATTTTGGCAAATGGAATAGAGAGGATGAAATAATGGGCAATTTTATAATTTAACGGTGTTTAATCAAACTTTCTTTGCGAAATGTTCACACAACAGTTTACAAAACCGCAACTTGACTTTCACGTATGTTCGATATTAAAATGTTTAGCTCATCCTTTACTGCAAGAGTAGGAAAAACTACAGAAATAAAATAAAAATCAACAAAGAAACGGGGATAAACATCATAGAACATTGAACGAGAGTCATTTTTTGTGGAGGAAATCAGTCTTCATCAACTTTCTATGGGTATTTTCACCTTTCAAAATACCCAAAGAAGGTTGATGAAATTGTAGAACACTATAGTACTTTAAATATCGCTTGTTGATTAAAAAAAGACTTGAACATAGTTTATAGAACAAGTAATGATTTGAGTCAATTTTCCAAAAACAATGAAGACAATTATCCAGTGTCGGATAGGAGTTTTTGGGTTGTCTTGTAGTTCTTGTGTCAAACTGTATATTTCATTTTAATTTATTTTATTTTATTCATTCATATAGTACATCATTCAAAAACCAAAGTCGATTACAGAATAGGAAAACGATATTCGAAATATACGAAACAAGTATAAACGATTTGAATATAGTGGTAAATACCAGAAGAGAAACAGATTAAAATGTAAAAAATAGATGCCAGTGTGTGTGTGTGTGTATGAGCTATAAAAAACTCATGCACCACTCCACACTATGGAAGGATGTGATATTAAGAATTGAGAACAGCCCTTTTTATGGTAGCAGCTTAACAATGAAAAATATCTACAACAGTCGAAACATTCATGTAATCTTTACACATTTGGTAAGAAAGCGAAAAGTCAGTCACGTTAGTCTGAGAATAGCAATCTGGGTTTATGTGGCCAGCAAATATGGGAATTTTATGTGAGAGCATAACTTTTTTTAAAAATAAAATGCCAAAATAAGTTCGACGTTTATCCATAATATACTTGAAAATCGTCTCTGTATATTTTCTAATCGATTAATGTGTACCTATATTGAAACAAAGACTCCATATGATACTTCCGTATTGAAATTTTCATCTCACAAGCGCATTGAAGAGGAGAAAGGCAGTTTCATTCCCGCACAACCATTTGGAATTCCTAATAATAAAATGAAGAGCTTTGTAGCCCGTGAATATAATAGAGTTTATGTGAAAGTTGAATGTAAATTTGTAGTCAAATATATATTAAACTAGTACTATATTGCTGCATCGCTGCTGTTCAAATGTTTTGACAGAATCAGAATCAACGAACTTAGGCGTGCGCAGCGTTATAGAACAGTGCTACCAAAAAAATTGTTCTGCAGCGCCATCTAGTGGCGAGTTACAAAAAAAATTGATAGCCTAAAAACCTTCTCTATGAAAAATTACTTGAACATGTGAAGTTTCATAACGATCGGTTGAGCGATGTACCAACCAACCAACCAACAAACATCTATTTTTATATATTAGATTCAATCATTATTTGTAGACTCAGTGTACGAGAGAAATGGATTGTTATATTTAGGGTGAGCAGATTTAATTAACAGCAGTTATTTAGCTTATTGATACCATCTTGAAGATAGGTACAATCAAGGTACAATCAGTAAGTGATAATATATCTTACAATCATCTGCGTAGAAAAAGCTTTCACAATATTGAACAAATATCATTTATGAAAATAATATAGCGAAGGAACCAGTACAGAGCCTTGCGAAACATCAGAGGATGCTACAAATTCGACAGACTTAGGATCGAGTGGTACGATGAGTTATGACTATTTGAAATCACGGTAATCAATACACCCAACTCCCCAAGAGGCAACTGTCGAGGTATTTTCTATACAGAAGATGTTATCATTGATAATTTCAAAACCATGTTTCAGAGAAACATATTACATCAAAATCAGTTGGAACTGTGTTCTTAGAAGTGGGGTGTGTTTTAATTCATAAACCTCTCACATTTTGGTTTGAGCATTGCAGGTTGGCAGTTGAGTTGGATGCTATAAATATTTCTACAATGTAATTGCTATATTGGTCAAACTACGAGAACTATCTCCAAAACAATAAAAGTATATAGGATATAGAAGTTCTTTAATGAGTTCACTAATTCAATCAATCATCTTTTGGTAACAGGGCATGAGTTCAATCATGACTATAATATATTTCATTTGAAACGGAAAGGTTCAAATCAAACTTTATGAGATGCTTGGGAATCTATGTTTTGAAGCATTTGAAACATATTCTCAATGACCTGATAGAATTGAATAATTCTACTGTTAGATTACTTGAAACTTGTGATTAGTTGAAGGATATTTCAAGTAAGATTGATTGAAGAACTCAGATGTTTATAATATTTTTTTAAATAGTTACGATTTTTTGTTCATTGGCATTCGCGTTGTGTAATAAGCAATTGCAATGATAGGCAACACCTAGTTGCCCATCACAGCACATATTTATGGTTTCAATCAGACAGAACTATATTATTTATTAAAACTGAAGATATTTTTCGGCGAGGTTATTTAGGTATTTCACGTAACTTCAGTGACGAAAATCATTGGATAAATATTCCTATAATAGTAAATTAACTTTTCTGCTAGGGGAGAAGATAGCAAGGACAGACAAACTGTGGCATTTCATCTTATCATAATGACCTTAATCCTAAGTTTCACTTTCTCAGTTCAACGAAAAAGAACAAACTACTGAGGACACAAATACAGGATGTTTACTAAACATGCGGCAAAAATTTAGGGGCCTTTTGTCCTTTGATGATTTGATAGGGCGCTTTGTTTTCATGATGCGGAGCAAAAAAGAATTTCGACAATAACAATTTATTACCAAAAATTACATGTAATGTTTCTTCATCTGTTGAAAATTACTACCCCCCGCTCGGATGCAAGAATCTCGACTCCCGAACTTCTTCAAAAACACCAGGAATATTTTTGATTTCGTTACACCCAGCAATTATCCGATTTCTCAAATCTTCCATAGGTACCAACGGAATTTTTAGATTTTTTATTACTTGGTAGGTCCAGTATAGTGCGCTATACTATTATTTCGGCTACGTTAATAATTTTTAAATTACCAAAATTGTTATTGTTGAAATTCTTTTTAGCCCCGTATCTTCAAAACAAAGCGCCCTATCAACAATCAGCAAAGGACAAAAAATCCTCAGAATAGATCCTTAATTTTTTGCCGCATGTTTAATAAACACCCTGTATACCGTGTTAGGAATCACACGTTAAAAGGTAAGACCTCGTTAGTCCTTAGCTCGCACAAGTTTCTCAACTTCTGAGAGTTGTCGTTCGTATGGGGGCGACAGCTGATTAACGGAAAAACAGATGTCATTTTCCGTTTTCTTGTAGACTATTTATAACCCTTGAAGATTTTGTAAATCATTCTACCTACCAACCAATCACTACATATTTGGTATTTTGAACTTCCAATCCTCTCATGATTCCAATCTTGCCAAAATAAAAAAAATTGGTATGTATTTGATTTTTCATTTCATTCACTTTCAACAGTTTCTCAAAAATACTAATCGATAAAGCACATGCTACTATGAACTAATCAATTTCAGAAATCTTAATGTCTATTATATTACTGATATTATATACACAAACTACTAAATATGGGTTACTCAATAAAAAATAGTAACCAAAGTTACTAATAAGTTCAAATTCTGAATTTTTACTCAACTACTTAGTAAAAGTTGATGAAAGGATATTTTTTACTGAGTGACTCTTTGTATATTCAATATACATGTTAACATTTTATTGAATCGTACTTTTCTTTTCTAAAGAGTTTTATTTATATGTATAAATAACTGTATTTTTGAAAATATATATTATGATCGTTATACGAGTTTTTGTAAATATCCTCCTCCCAAACTTCTTGATAGATCTATAAAATTATATATTTGGGAATAAATTCATTGCTGACCAATTACTTTGTACTTGAGAAAAAAAGTCACTGTTTGGTGTGGATTATGAGTCGGTGGCATCATCGGGCCGTACTTCTTCAAAGACGATAATGTCCGAAACTTTACTGTGAATGGCGAGCACTACCGTGTGATAATTGGCGACTTTTTGTTGCCCAAAATGGAAGAATTGGACATGCCTGACATGTGGTTTCAACAAGACGGTGCCACACGAAACAATGGCCCAATTAAGAGCCGCCTTCGGTGAACAGTTTATCTCACGTTTGGGGCCCGTCAATTGGCCGCCTAGATCGTGTGATTTGACGCCTTTGGATTATTTCTTGGGTCATGTCTATAGGGAGAAACCAGCAACGACTGACGCTCTGGAAGCCAATATTGAAGCATTTATATGTGAAATACCGGTCGATATGTAATAATAATAATAGTTCTTCAAACATTAAATTATATTGATCGTTCTATCGATTCCAATGAAGATTTCATCAATTTTTTCAAATTTTTTGTGTTTTTTCGAAAACCAACAATTGAACCAAAAAATAAAAAGTTAAGAGATTCCAAGCCAGTTACTTCAAAAGTAACTTGGCAGTTGAGGATTAAGCAGGTGAAATATATATTTCAAAACAATGTATAAAACTGTTCCAAATTATTGTACTTTTCTACAAATCCACAAGAAGTTAACAGTGGTAAGTCATTTTTAAATTTCTGAAACAAAAATTTCAATGGAAAAAAAATTAAACATATAATAAACAATTTTATTAATAATGAAAATACATACAATTGTTAAGAAGTAAAATATTTTATTGAATAGTGGCTGGGAGCTATTTTGAAATATCTTTCCGGAAAACGGTTGTCAAAAAACTAACTTTTGGTAATACTCAATATATGTATATGTTGAATCGAAAAGGAGAGCTGTTTATACCTGAACTTCACT